CACTTAAACATACGTTCGTCCTCGAACGTGCTGAGAACTACACTGAAGTAGTCTGAAATCACTTGTTTAACACATCATGCACCTTCCCATGCTACCACTACTCCGTTTAGCACATTATCTTGATAATTCTGTAGATATACTTATTTATTCAAGCAAATAAGCCATTAGGCCCAATTCCAACANTAAAACTAGAATGTATGGGCTACAACTTTAGGGTTTGCACTTTTTCTGATTTCTTATAGATTACAAGATATAAACTTTCAAACTGGACTACTCGCACCTAAAATTTTCTGGGCACAGCAGAATTTTCTGCAATTTTCTGCAATTTTTCCTAAGTCCGAAATCACTCCGAGACACCTTCGAAACACTCCCGAGCCCTCGAGCCTCCAAACCAAATATGAACACTAACTCTAAAACATCACACGAACTTGCTCGAGTGATCAAATCGCCAAAATAACATCAAAATCAATTATTTGAGCCTTAAATCCAAGAATTCTTTCAAATTTCATAAACTTTCAAATTTTCCAATTTAAGGCCGAAACCCGTCAAACAACGTCCGTTTGTAACCAAACTTTACAGGAAGCGCTTAACCAAGTCGGAACAAAAATACGAGCCCGGTACCATTACTTTCTGATCAAATTTCATTTTCATTTTCCTTAAACATTTTCAGAAAACAATTTCACGAAAAAATTCATTTCTCGGGCCTGGGACCTCGGAATTCGATTCCGGAAACACGTTCAACTCCCATATTTTTCTATGGACCTTCGAGACCTAAATATCACGGGTCCGGGTCCGGGTCCGTTTACCAAAAATATTGACCAAAGTCAACTTTAACAATATTAAATATCAAAATTTTCCAAATTTTTCCCATAATTCATATATTTCAACACAAAGATATTCCGGACACACTCCTAAGTCCCAAATAACCTAACGAAGCTATCCAAACCATAAAATTCGCATTTCAAATCCGATATCAAAATTTCCACTTCCGGCCAAATTTTCTCAAAAACCTTCAATTTTCCATCTTTAGCCGAACGACTCCAAAATGACCTACGGACCTCCGAATTCACTTCCGATCGCGCTCCCAAATCCAGAATCACCATACGGAGCTACTCCCAGTCTCGGAATCCCAAACGGACATCAATAATACTGAAAGCATTTTAAATCAAACTAATGCAATTTCTTCTAAAATGCTATCTTCCACAATAGGCGCCAAAACACTCCCGGATTATCCAAAACCCGATCCAGGTATACGCCCAAGTCCGAAATCATCATACGAACTTGCTAGAACCTTCGGATCCCAATTCCGAGGTCGTTTACTCAAAATTCCAATCCTAGTTCATTTCTTCAATTTTAAGCTTTCAAAATGAGAATTTCCATTTAGATTTGACTCCAAACTTCCTGAATTTTAATTCTGACCATACACA